TAGTAGTAGTAGTAGTATAGTAATAATANAACTATATATATATATATATATATATATATATATATATATATATATATATATATGGGATGCAATTAGAAACGCCGTATATATGGATACAAGTAGAAAAGCCATATACACTTTGGTCCATAAATGCCTTCCACAGCTAATACAATCCCTTTATAGTGCCCAAATTTTATTTGCTCTTTGTTGTAGAGTTTCTAAAGAGCGATCTAAAGCATCAAAAAATGTTTCTTAGCGTAATTCTACTTCCTAATGAATGCACTTCGTTTCTCCACCTGTACAACCTTATTTTAAGTGGTTCCTTTCCTCTTTCCATATTGATGCTAGAGGCCCATATGGGTAGAAGGGAAAAAGGCAAGCTAGCCGCCATACATCATTATCCTGCTTTACTCTTAGTTTCTTCATAAGATCTTATTATTGCTCTAGATAACTTTTGGCGCAAACCTTTATCAACCTTTCTAATGTGAAGTTTAATGCCAAGGTCCTGTGAAGATAATCCCTGGGAGACCTTATGCTGTAATCAGATGTGCCTCATTGTTCACATGATCAAAGTCACTTACCATTTCCTAATGTGAGAATTTCTTTACGTGAAGAGTGAGAGTTATCACCTATTTCCATGATCCATCACTTACAAAACCTTGGGCAATAAATAATGAAGATATTATAATCCAAACGAATAAACTAGCATGCCTCTGTATCATGTGATAGGAATACAGATTATGGTACACATAATGAGTGTCATTGTTGCAAAATTGGAAAACCGTCGATAATCAACATGAATATGAAAAATATCCTAGTGCTAATTAGCCATTAAAGAAAGTGCATAAATAATAACCAATAAACCTTGACATTTTCTTCCCATTTATATGAATGAAATGAACCTTCTGAATAAAATAAGTCTCCATGGTAAATGTTTGCGAAACTAATGTGTTTTCATATTACTTGCACTTTTGTCTTAGGGTTCATTGTTGAAGCAGTTAGCAATAGCAAATCAAAGCCTAGGTGGTGGTGTAGTTGTAGTTCTTGCTGAAAGGGACAAGGAAGAAATGGAGATGGACATAGCAAAGCTAGAATTTGACTTCATGGGAACATCTGTTATTTGTAGAAGTGGTAGTCCTCTGATACTTGCTGATTTGAAAAAGGTGAATTTGTTTTTTATACTTATGCATTGCTTCTCCTCTCTGGCATGTTAGTTAATCTTTTTCCTTGTCTTGTTATATCTAAAACACCATCTGTTCTACTTATGTCAATTTCCATGTTACATTAAATACTTTTATGCTAATGCAAATGGCTTAATTATGTGCAGGTTTCTGTCTCAAAGGCTCGTGCCATTATTGTGTTAGCATCTGACGAAAATGCGGATCTGGTTGGTTATTTTTTCCCTTGAACAGCTGTGATTTTTATTCCAGTGAATAGCTATTTTATGATACAATTTCATTCTGTTCTCATCTAGAGTGATGCTCGTGCTTTGAGGATCGTTTTGAGCCTCACTGGAGTCAAAGAGGGTTTGAAAGGGCATGTTGTAGTAGAACTGAGTGACCTTGACAATGAGCCATTAGTAAAGCTCGTTGGAGGAGAGCATATTGAAACAGTTGTTGCTCATGATGTGATTGGACGCTTGATGATACAATGTGCACTGCAACCTGGCCTTGCGCAGGTAAGTTAAGAGGCAATTTTATCTCCTTTCATGGGGAATATTATCAAGAAGTTATTTAGGGTAACATGATTATCAATATATTCGTATGTGCTTTTGACACAATGCCAAAGAGTACTAAATTTTGTTGTTGTATTTCTAGGATTATTTCGTAATGCCACTTGGAGATTTGCTTTACAAGGTTTTCTTTAATCAACAATAGAATTTTTTATTTCTTCTGTTGCTTTTTTTGTTTTTAGGTAATAAATCCCGTACTGCTTGCTTTTCTTTTGACGGAACGGTTTCCCAGTGGATTATGAGACATTTGCATCCACTGATAGTTTGGCATGCATCAGATATCAAAATCTAGTCTGCATGTAGATAAATAAATAATTGGTGTGCAATTTTAAAATTAAAGCTTGAATGGATATTAAAAACTTATTTGTATATGTAAAATAAACTGAAAGCTTCAATGGATATTAAAAACTTTTATGTATATATAAAATAAAATGGGAAATTTATCAAAATACCTTAAGAGACGAATTATTTAACCTTTTACCCCATATAGTTTGATTTAATTCCAAAATACCCATCAAAAGACACATGATCATGAGTTGAAAGAGTTAAAATGTGTAATATGTTAATTAGTGTATCTCTCATGGGTATTTTGATAAACTTCCCAAATAAAATTCCTACATGCATGTGCATTATGCACATACATAAGTTAATGTACGAAACCCGTACAAGTGGTAGCATGATCATGACCCATGCATAACACATGTTGTGAACATAGCATGACCAACTGTGTGCGCAGATTAGGCCCTGTCTAGACCTGGACACAATTCTTTGGTTCATACATCTTGACCTGGACCCCGACCTTCCGGGTCCACTGCTTGACCCGACCTGATTGATAGTGCTATGTGTAACACTTCTAAGTAGGTGTGTTCCTGTTCAGGTTAAATCATGAACCAATACAAAATAGTTTTTTTTTTTGTCTCTTTTTTTTTATCATTATGACCTTATTCATGTTTTATGGCCTTTTGCAGCATTTTCAAAGAAACAGAGATAACTAAAGGACCAACCCAAACATTTTGTGGCACTGCCTAAAGTATATTAAAATGATATTTTAGTCATTTTTCCTGGTCTTCCCAAACACACCCTTATCAGTTAGACACTTCCATATATTCTTATGTGTTTTTTCTATGTTTCAAGAGGCCACATATAGCATGATTAGAACTTGAAAGACCATAAATACCTAGCCATGCAGACCTATGGCTGACGCATCGAAACTTGGAAAAGGTTTGGGCTCTTTTAGATTGTGGTGAGGGACCACTCCTAGTGTGTTTTTGGCGTAATACTGAAAATGACTGAAGTAGCATTATGATATACTGGTGATAAAACACTTACAGAACACATTCTGTTTGGCTCTTTCTTGATCCCTTTTATTTTTAGACTGCCAAATAGCTGCAAAATGTGACTAAGGTGAAAAAGAAAAAGGAAACAAAAGAAAAAAAAAAGAGAACTTGTTTTGCTTTGGTTCATGGTTGACCCTAAACAAGAGGAGACCTACTTAGGCTATTTAAACTCGCCTTAAGGAGAGATTCTCATACTTTAATGGAGAGATTCCATAAACTTAGCCTTGGTTTGTGGAGTGCCCTCAAAGGCTTAGGATTATACCAATCTAAAACCTTCTAGAAAAATACACCTATATCCTATGAAAAATCAAATTAAAAAAATAAATTAAAAATTTGAATGACCCAATTTTTTATTTGCATCAGAAACCTTAACTCTCTGCGCCAGATATGTTCCTACTAAATATTGGTCTCATAATGTCCAACACTAAGCCTTTTAGTAGTTCAAATTAACCTAAAATCTTAATCTATTGTAATCTTGTTCGCCTTTGTGATCTCTACCAAATTAGGAAAACTGATATAGTTAGGAAATCAATCCAGAATGGGAATTCGAAGTCTAATAGTAATCCTATCTCAATTTAGAAACCCTAATCCGAATTAAACCGAATCCCTTTTTACTAGAAAATCAACATTGGATTCCAAAACCAATCCTAAGCTCCACACACATATTATACTTTTTAAACACCAATATTTCTTGATCTTCCAACAAAAGTGGTTTAAGAGTTTATTTATTGAGAATGTGAAACAAAAGGAGAAAGGGCTTGCAAGAGAAGGTTGGTTGTGCAAAAAGGGGAGCAGAAAAGAGTATGGAGATCTTATTTGCATGCAAAGAGAGCAGAAGAAGAAAGGGTTTGTAGAGAGAAAGTTGGTTGTGCAAAGAGAGGGATGGAAAAGGGGTTTAAAACTCAGATTTCTAGATAAACATTGGGCAAGCAGAAAAAAAATGCAATGATGGACTCATTGGGGTTAACAGCCCTTTTTTGCCACTAGCCTTGGGAATAAAATCCTTGAAATCTAATGATTCGGGCTGCATTTTGTTCTCGAGGATTCCAAGCCCTAAGCTCTGGTGAGGAGTAGGTTATTATGTTGGTAATGAGAAGGGTAGTATTGTTGATGATGGGGAGCAGGGTTGTACTCATGGTGGTGGTTAGGATAGTGCTGCTGGTGAGGTTGTGGATGGGGGTTGGCTCTGTAGGGGTACTATTAACCTCTAGTGGAGGCTGAGGATCCAAGGACTGCAAAAAGTACCCATCTCCATTACTTAGGGAAACCTCATTAATTAAAACATAAAAGCTTGAAGATATTTTGTATGGTAGATTTTTTATGGAATCTCTTATTTTTTTTTGAATGCGGTGATAATGTGTCAATGACAAGAGTTAATAAGGTAGCTCAATTTTGAATATAATATATGATACATGCCATTCCCTCGGTAGAGTTAGGCGGTCTGGTCATGTGCAATACCGACCTAGAACAACACCGGTTAGGAGGGTTGATTTAGTTCAAGTGGAAGGCTCTAAAAGGGATAGGAAAAGACCCCTAAGGACATGGATGGAACTAGTGAGAAAAGATATTGTGGCTTATGGTATGATTGAGGCTATGGCCTTGGTAGAGCGGAATGACAGATATAATTCATATAGCCAATCCCAACTAAATAGTTGGGATAAGGCTTAGATAATGATGATGATAATAAATGATGATATATGGTATGCAACATGATCATGACTTACTATATAAGAAAAATGGGATTATGGCTTAACCAAGAAGCCCCTGAAAACTACAAGGTTGCTTCATGGCTAGCCCATGACTCTAGAGCCTCCAATGGTGCCCATGACCTTGCTGTGGTCATTCTAGGCAGGGGATCCATAATTCTCATGGGTCCCACATTGGGGTGGGTATTGCAGCACAGACGTGGTTCTCGCATTCGTGGGAAGTATTCCCTTTTTGTAGATCTCATCTGTGGGGATTAATCATGGGCCTCCCAGGCCCCTCCTTCCCTCCCTCCATGCAAACCTAGAGTGCATGTGTAAATATAGGTTTCTATTTTAAGTTTATGAATGAAATAAAAATCTTTATGAACCTCTTTTTGTATCCAACCTTCTACAGTCCCGAGGATGCCTTTATTGCCTTACCGGCAGACACTTCAAGAAGACAACTCTGAGGTCATGTTCCAAATTCTCTTGTATCTCCCCTCTGATAAGGGATATTGATTCTGGACCAGAAAGGCCCTAGGTCTTAAGTAAAAAATTCAGTCTTTGGACTTCGTCGAGACCCATCATCAATCCTGAGGCCTTGTGAGCCCCCCTAAATGATGCTCTGGCAATGCACCGCGATCATCACACCTGGATATGGATTGTTCTAATCATCATTTTTCCATTAATTGGCAACATATGATGTGTCTAACTGGCCAAGGATGTCTGGATGTTAGGTTGTTGATTACACCAGATATTGCGTATTTTTTGACCCATTTTAGTCCCACGAAGGGCTAAAGAAGTATTATGGATTATCAAAATCATCAACTAAAGCAGAGGACAAACATAAGCTGTGTTATCTACTACGTACCAAACCTTATGGTTCCTTGTGCTACTTCATGAGCTTGCTACTCAGTTGGCATCTTGAGAACAATTAGATGGACACACTTCCAATATAGGCAATGTTTCTTGATCAGAGGTGGTACATAAGAGGCAAACTGCAACTTGATTCATCTCCACTTCGGTTTAGGTACTCTTTCTCATTCACAGATAAACACTTAACTCCAGATAGCAGATCTCTTCAGTAAGGGTTTGGCGACAGCCAGAAACACACTTCTAGTTGGCAAACAGTTACAGATTGATCTCTCTCAATGATCATCTAATGTCAGTTCGAGGGACTGTTAATTTTGAATTGTTTGGCAATAATCTAGTATTTTACAGTATGCTTGTCCAGTGTTACGTAATAACATGTTTGTGATTGTAATGAATGTAGGTCGTGTTTATTATATTGTTGCAGGAGTTCATCAAGGAATAGTATTCCTTCTCTTCTAGTTCATTCATGTTTGGTGGAATCATTGGATGAACAACAACAAAATTTTAGTTATGAGGAATGAATTGCAATTGTAACTAAGTCATTCTTGTGCTTGACTTTAATGTCATTCAGTGACTAGTTTCTGGGGTTTTTCTGGGGGATGACGGGGTGGGGGAAGGCTGTACATACAAGAGATCTTCAAATCTATTTTAGGACATTTGGGCCGGCAAGATATGGATAATTGGGGTTACAGATATCTCATCAGCATGGAGAAACAACCCAGATGGTGGCTCTATGTTTTCGGATTGTCGTCCACCAGACATGCTTGTGCAGATAAATTCTTCCTTGCCCGATAAATCCAATAACAATTCTATGTTTTCTTTGTTAAGGAACCATATAAGGGCATCCTTGTTACATGGAATTAATATTTATGCTTCTTTACATAGTTTCATTTATCCTGCATATTACCACAGTGCAATGAGTACTTATATTTTCTTGTGCAGATATGGGAGGATATTTTAGGGTTCGAGAATGCAGAATTTTATATCAAAAGGTGGCCTCAATTGGATGGTATGAGGTTTGAAGAAGTTCTGATTTCATTCCCTGATGCAGTTCCTTGTGGAGTCAAGGTAGTGGCAAATGGTGGAAAAATTGTTCTTAATCCAGATGACAATTACATTCTAAAGGAAGGTGATGAAGTCCTTGTTATTGCAGAGGATGATGATACCTATGCCCCTGGCCCTTTGCCTGAGGTAACTCTCCTTTTTTAATGTTTGTAGCCATGCACGAGGGTTACTGCAATTTTCCATGGTGATCTTGTTCAGTTTTTGCATTGTATGAACACACAATTATATATTTAGTGAAGTGTGGTTTTTGTTTTTATATGATTCATTTATTATAATGCTCTATGTTCTTTTTTTTGTTTTTTTTGTTTTTTGAGAAAAAAAAGGTTACAACGAGATACCGTGACATCTTTCTTCGTATTTTCCACAAGGTACCGTGACTCAATAGCTACCATGGAAACCGGAAGGCAGCAATATCAATTAGTTTCATTGTACTTTAACAATGTTCGGTTCATGAAGTGATTTATTTACTGTATGCATGCATGCAAACATAGTAGGATTGGTAATCATATGTTTGAGCTAGTCAAAATCAACTGGATAATTGTTTAGTATGCTCTATAATTTTCCACGCAGTAAAAGGTTTGGGTATTTGATTAGCAACTTTATATTAGTTTTATAGCTACTGCTTTAAATTTTTTATACATCTTAACCTAGCGTAATACCTTGCATGAATGGTGCTAGAATGAATTTTTATTATTCATGTTGTAAATGGGAGAACTGGAGGGATTCACTGGACCATACAGATGCCTGTTTTTTTCACCAGATCGTTGTGTCCCTTATTATAGGGAAAAAGATGGGCAGTTCAAATTTGGGATGAACTTGAAGTGGAGAACTCCAGATCCCCATAATGCAAACCAGATACTTTACCGCTGAACCAAAGTTCAAGGGTCTGTCCCTATCATGTGCTTATAGCAATTTATAAAAATGTGTATGAATTATCCTTCACTAGGTTTACTTTATATGTTTGCAATATATTTTCCTAACTAATTGTATTTGAGCTTATTCTCATCCTTATCTTCAAAGTACATCTACAACTTTTGTTGATCTTATTCTTAGGACACTGACTATGATTCTTCAGTAGCAACGAGTTGCTCCTGTTATTATTGCAGCTCCTTTACATTCTAACAAATCTCAAATCGAGTTTTCTCATTTCCATGTGATAGAACAAATCAAGTAGCATAAAATCTTACAAACTGCTACTTTATACTTCAGGCATAAAATTCATGTGTGGACGTTAGTTGACCATTGAGAGAACCTATGAAGATTCTACTTTTTTGGATTGTATTAGGACATTGATGATATGATTATGGTATTCACTTGCTTTCATTCACTGTGATCCTCTATTCTTATGTATGTCCCTCTTGCTGCAGGTAAGGAGGGGGTTTCATCCTAACGTTTCCAGCCCTCCAAAGTTCCCCGAGAAGATACTATTTTGTGGTTGGCGTCGTGACATCGATGACATGATATTGGTAAGGTGATAGCAGAAGTTAAGAAAATCTTGTGACATGCTTCTATTTGAAGGTTTGGGTGGACATGGATGTTTTGCTTACAGCCTTCCCTTACTTTCCCTCTAATTGTTTTCTTCAGATTAATTTTTACTGAATTTATTGAGAAAAGGATTCCACTTGCTCTCTTAGACTTTAAGTCTCCTCCTAAAATTCTCTTAGGGCATGTTTGATAAGTGGGAGTTTCTGGAAGTGGGAGTTAAATGTCCCACTTCCATGTTTGATATTACTGTGTGGAAGCTGTAAAGTGGAAGGGTGGCCTGCCGCACAGATTTGTTTTTGTGTTAAAACGGGTTCTTTTTTAGAAGACCTCCCTTCCATCAAAAAGGATGGAAGAACAGTCTTCCATACTCTGTGGGAGAGTCCCTTCCACTCCGAAAAACTACATGTGTCTAACGCACCCTTAGAGTTTAGAAGTCTTCTCCTCTAAAATATATCCCTTGTTTGTGGTTGTGGTTTGACTTCTGTTCCTTTTCCAGTTTGTAAAATTTCAAGCATTCTACAATTGCAAAAAAAATAAAAATTTCAAGCATTCTACAATTGCAAAAAAAATAAAAATTTCAAGCATTTCTCGAAGATGTGTGATGGTACTTCATGTTTTTTCAGGTGCTAGAAGCATTTTTATCTCCAGGTTCAGAACTATGGATGTTCAATGAGGTTCCTGAGAAAGAAAGAGAGAGAAAACTAACTGATGGTGGGCTGGATCTATCTGGATTAGAGAATCTAACGCTTGTTCATAGAGAGGGAAATGCTGTTATACGTCGACACCTGGAATCTCTTCCTTTAGAGACATTTGACTCAGTGAGTACCCCCACCTTCATATTCCATATACTTTGTGCAACGAAAAAGTGGCAGGATGTTTCTAGATATGTCATTGTAGACTAACTGCTCACTAGTCTATTTGTGATGTATGTGTTATTGTAAAAGTTTCTAGAGAGAACTTTACTTTTGTTTCTGTCTGCTTTCTTTGATTTCCACTCTGTGCATCAAGTAAGGCGTGCATGGAAAAGCGACTATTTTCTGCTGCAGCTTCTTTTTTAATGTTTTTGACGTCCATTATGTGATTTTAGTTTATTGGTAGATGATATTAACTGGTTATAGTAGTAAATGAGAACTTAGGATACCAAATGTAGGGAGCTTGAAAAAACCAAAATTGTACGACAAAAAATGGGGGTTTGGAGAACCTGATCCACCATAAAATAAGGATGATGTAGTCCAAAAGTGATATTACATTCAAATAGCCATTGGGCCCTGAGAGTCTCTAAACAACCCCTCCGAATCCTGCTTGACCAGGATTTCTGAGGGAGCACCCATTAGTTTAATGCTTGATTTACCCATGGTCATGAGATCTCCAAATGGAGGATCTTGGTAAAGGATGTGGTCTGGCTGATAACATTTGCCTCCGATTTTGCACGCAGTTAGCTATATAGCATGGCAATGAAGCCCTTGATGTCCTTTGCCCAATGTGTGACCATCAAAGTGATATAGTCCTTCATTGTTTGAATAGAACTTACCTTCCCCTCAAAGACGTGGCTACCCCTTTCTAACCAGATGACGCAGATGTTGGAAATAACTGAGGCCTGCCTCAAGAAGAGGTCCTAAGAGGGAAAAGGAGTAAAGTAGAAGCTAGAGAGTTGCTCGATTGACCGCAAAACTGCCAAAAGTTTTGGAATCAACGTTTCTCACAAGAAGAATCACATTCTTGTGTAGCTAAGAATCAAAGTCCTAGATATGGAATCTTGATTCCGTCAATCCAAGAATCGAGATTCCTAAACTCGGTAGAATCGGATTCCGCAAAAAATGGAAACATGATTCCTTTCTTTTAGAAATGACTTTCGCCTTGGGGAACGCCGAATCGAGATTCCGAAACGGAATCGGTACCCTCATAGGCAATTTGGGTAACTATAGAAAATATACCTTAGAGCTAAAATCCACTTAAAATCCACTAAGGAAAGTGTATGTTGTTGAAATCATCCTTGCTGCATAATTGTGTGTAGTATACATTTACATTCGATGCAAACAATGCCTAATGTTCTTTCACTTCAATTGGAGAGCATGAGGTATATAATTTCCCTAGTGTTCTTGTTGCTATGCCAGCTATGCCAGGGCTGGCCTCGGCCAAGGGACTTGCCCCCTGGCCTGGGCCCTAAAAGAATTTACATGTATAAAAAGTAAACTCAAACCTAAAACAAATTTAAAAGGTCAAACCAAGCTTAAAAAAGTAGTGAAAAAGTGGATTTAATGAGATTTACAATTTGGGACTTTTTTTTAAAAAAAGACAAACATAAAATGGCGATTACAGTAAAAAACTCTCATCAATCTTTGCCAAATACATCCAAAAAAATCATGTAAGAAAAATTAAAATTTGCATAACATATCTTTATTTTTTACAAATTTTTATAACGTATCTTGATATTTTACTTTTTTTGTGAAATTTGTTTAAATGCCCCAAGTTTTACATACAACTCAGGGGTACTCGGCCGAGTCCAAGTCAACTCGGTCGAGTCCCGACACCCCGGTTCTTGTTCTCATCCTTATCCTTGGGATGACCTATTTTTAAATTTGCCAACAATTATAAATATAAATCTGAGTGTGATAGATGTAGTAATCTATAAACTATAGTTGTTTGAATCGGGAGCATGAGCAAGAGTGAGGGATCATTGCATGCTAGAAGTTCCCTAGGTCTGGAGTAAGGACCGCAAATAAATAAAATAAAATTTTAAATTTTAAAAAAAGAAAATTCGGTTATTTTATAATTTTTTATTCATTGAGAATAGTTTATGTTAAAAAATTAAAGGTAAAATTACAGAATCCCCCTAGTTATAACTTTCTCCCAAAAATTCCCCCCTGTCGAAAAGATTTCTACAGTCAATACCCCAATTTTTTTTTTTTTTTTTTTTCTCATTTGTCCCCTTGACCACTTTTCAACATATTTTTGGACAAAAATCCCCTTATTAAATGAATTTGACAAATTAATTCAAAAGTTTAGAGCCCAGAAATCAAAATGTCTGGCCTCTCTTTCTTAATCCCCCTTCTTTCTCTATTCCCCTTTATTCCCTCTCTAAAACTGCCCCACGAAACCTCCTCTGCAAAGAGCTCCCTCATAGAGCCGTAATTTTCCTAATATGAGTCTGAAAGGTATTTCTCTTGGTTAAAAATGGAATCCACATCTGAAAGTTATTTCTCTGATTTATAGGTGCTCATGATGTCGTTGACCTCATAAACTTTCCTTTGCAACATTTTCTAAGCTTCCGTGTGGCTTGATATGAGCTCAGCGATAAGCCTATCGATCTTGTTAAGAACCAAACATGGGGTTAATTTCTCAACCCAAGCTTGCCTCAAAACTGCGTGGCTTGAATGTGTACGCCTTCTGTTAAATTGACGAGAATCAAAGCCCCATTGCTTAAACGAGCAGCTGTAGAGACCTCACTGCAAAAGTCCATGTGACCTAGTGAGTCGATGAGGTTGATGAGGTGGTTTTTGTACTCCAAAGCTATCAAAGAGCTTTTGATTGTGATGGCTCTGTTTTGATCTTCATCAAGATAGTCCTGAACCTCAGCTTTCCAGCTTGCTTTGGGTGCACCAATCCATTTACTGAACCAACGATTAAAAGGTCACCAAGGGTCGTTTTTTCATGGTCTACATGAGCAAGAATACATATATTTCGATTTTTTCGGTATCAAAATCCCCCATAGTTCTCCAATAAATGAGCACTCTCTTGTCTTTGATCAATGTAATTTCATTATTTTCGCCATCTTTCCTAATTACTTTTCATGGAGGGGCTTCATCCTTAAGCAGAATTTTAGAACTTCTTACACATAAACTGTGCTTAAATTGTTTTTATCAGATCTATCCATCTTAACATACAAACACTTCTTTGTCATGGTGGGGCTTCATCCTCCTCTTCCCCTTGGGGTTATTGTAGTAACCTTGGGCACTGTAGGTGTTAGTTTGGTCTTAAAATTTTGTAGATATTTTTAGGGGTATTTAGGTCATCTAGTACTGTTGATATTTAAGGGCATTGTTCCTTTTTATTGCATTGCTAGGATTTTCTTTTGTTTCTAAACATATGATCTATTGTGAAGGGCTTCTTTTTTTTTTTTTGGGTGGGGGGTGTGAGGGGTGGAGAAGTAGAATTGATATGGGCAACGCCTTGTTATTGCATTCCAAGGATTTTTAAGGTTTTCTTTATTTCTAAATATATAATCTATTGTAAAGGGCTTTTTTTTGGGTTGGGGGAGGGGGGGTGTGAGGGGTGGGGAAGAAGAATTGATATGGGGTCCTGCGAAAATATATTTTTGGGACAGGTTCCCTTGTACCAGAGCCTTGAGATCCACACATAATGACATATTTAAGACGTAGTAATTCATTTTTTGAGAGCATGGATCAAATATTTCAGAGTCCAAAAAGGCCTGGAAGAAATCCTTGGCAAATTAATGCAACTAGTGGTATAAGAATTATTCAGCTTATTAATGCGACAAGTGGAACAAGAATATTAAGAGGATGATAAAAAGTTGACCTCTAATCCATTCCTTAAGCTCAAGGACGAGCTTTCCCCCATCTTAGGAGAATGATGTAGTTAGTTTTTGTTTGTTTCTTTTTTCATTTCTTTTTTTTTTGTTTTTGTTTTGGGGTGGAGGGGGGGGGGTTTAGAGTGCATTTCATAGCACTATGAGGTTAGTTTGGTCTCTAAACTTTTAGCGATTATAGGGATATTTAGGTCATTTAGTATTGTGGGTATTTAAGGGCTATTCTATCTCTTTTATTACAAGGTTTTTTAGGCTTTTAGGGTTTTCTTTTGTTTGTAAATATATGATCTATTGTTAAGAGGGAGAGAAGAAGAATTGTTTTTGGGTCTTGTGAAAGATCTTTTGGGGTGGTTCCCTTGCAAATCCAAAGATAAGGTCTATTCTCACAACCTTATTTATTATTTTCTAGTTTGTGTTGTTTCCTTGCCACGAGGACCATGCATTAGGCTATATTGGGACGATCCATCAAAAAAAGAAAACCAGACATTACTTATCAGGTGATCTATAGTGTACACCTTGCACATGTCTATTTGTATCCAACCTCCTAGATCTCGCATGATCCTGCTCGAGATATGATTGAAAATTTATCTCATATGCTTATTCTTTATTCATTGCCCTAATGGTATCCCACCAAGCCAGACTCTTTGAATCCAAGGACAAAATATAACAAACAAAGTTAACCTTGGATTAAGCAAAATTGGAACATATTCTAAAACGTTTTTGTGCATGACAAAAGGAATTGATCAATCTATGAACTTACCAAGTACAGGTTTCTGTCAACAATTTTTTTTGTTTTGTTTTCCTTTTTTGTTCTTTCCATCTGAAATTTATTGGAAGGATTGGAGTGGTAAGTAAAAAAGGAATCAAATCGCACCATCTCTGTGTTAAGTAAATGCCTCTGTTTCTCTTGAAGTCATCATAATGATTCGTAACAAGATATTGGATACAATTGAAGTCCTATTGATATTGGCTACAATTTGACCCAATTCTATCATATGAATGAAATTTATTCTATAAATCAGAGACATTTATTATATGAGATAAACAATGCACCCAACCCTCTACGTTGTCAGAAAAGAGTACGAAACATTATTGCTACCTGTGTTTTGGGTGCCAGAATCAAATGTAGTGGTGGATCTTAACAAGTGAGTGGCAAGATAAAACTTAAAATACATAATTATCATTTATCCTCCCTCCACATGTATCATTTTTTCTGCATTGGATTTCTATAATACCCTTTTGGCCTTAACATTTCTATACACTGAGCCAAATACATACATTTGAGCAGGGTCTGATCAAAGGCCAAGAAAGGAACTGCAAAATAGAGAGAGCGCTTGGGATACTCACAATTTTTATTTGTTTTCTGCCTTTATAATTACCAACAAGAAATCCCTTGACAATAACATCCTATTCTTCCTTTATTTAGTCACTGAAACAACTGGGGAGGGAATTGACCTTCATCTTCATCAATATCCATCGATGTGTCAACATTCAAGGCACGTTAAGCCTGAAGCCTGACCTATTTATGAAACTCCCAAGTCCAAAGTGGGCAATTATTACCATCCAAATTAAGAATACCAAAAGCGTTTCTTTGAGTCTGTAGATCTTCTAACATCAACACATCAGCTACCAGCAACATCTTCAGGGCTTATAACAAAACCTCCAACTACCTGCAAGGCACAATAATAAAGCTTTAAGTCTTGTGTGAATCCGGTATATTGCATGCAATATAACATTCAACGAATCAAATGAGAAGTAGTGCATTGCTTTCTCAAATTAGTGACATATATTGCAAGTTTGATCAGAGCTTATTGAAAGTCACAAACACATGGGAGGCTCGCAATTACATCTGATAGTGGAGAAATAGACCCGGGCTTTGATAGTACTATGAGAAATATGCAGGGCCTGTGTTAGGACTAGATGAATAGATCACATATGGTGTTCAAGATGGCATAGTTGGAGGTTCGAACATAATAAAGGGTTTAACTTAAAGAAGGGATTTCTTGTTATGTGAGAATTGGCCAATAGAGGCTCAAAACTCATATAAGAAAAAATGAGTTGTTTATTACTTCACATCACTGAGCTGGCCGTTGGGTGCGATGCCTGCTCCACTCTTTGGACTAGGACGTATTAATGCAATGTAGTGGACCTTCCTTTTAAAGGCACCAGGTATGACTTCCAACCTGGAGTAGTATGTTATGCATTTGCAGGGCAAGCGGTATATCAATATTCATACGCAGTGTCTTAGCATGGTGTCTCCTTTGACCACCTGTGCATGGAATGCCTTTGTGGCTGGACTGTGACGTGCAAAGTCAAACAAAAAGGTGGTTCTATTTCATTTCAACGCCTCCTCAGTATATCAGTGCCATCCACAATAGGTATCTCTTTGCAAAGTGCATAGATTGGCAAAGCAACTGATAAGGAAAATTTTCATGTTTCTTCTGGAAATTTGTCAAGAAAGGATAGCAAGAGTACTGCATTTTTTGTTTTGATGTCCATCTCGACCGGTTTTACATACAGTTAATCTAAAATATTTTTAAAACCCAGCTAGCAAATAGTTGGCAATCAGACGAAGATTTATAGTGGTTAGTTTTGCAATAGGCCCTCTTTCTTCCATGATATAGAGTGGATGAGATTCCTATGCTGTAGCTATGTGGACCAGACATCTGCTTAGATCTTGATACCATAACATTAGATTATTATTGAATGTCCGAAAATCGATCCCCCTTCTCATAGCCATGAATGGAGAGATACTCCCAAATGCTGATTTCCAAATAAAAATTCAGAAACATGTAGTTTGTGCTTGCATGGAAGCTGAATTTTGTTTTTATTTTTATTTTGATTGTTTGCATGTAAGCAGATTTGGATGGTTTTCTAAAACATTGCATGGCTATTTTCTTACCTAAGGGAAAATATCATAATCCTCATGAACACTTGGGATGTTGTCAGGAGAATCATCTCTGCTCAATGAATGAGTTTGACCATGATGGACACTGAGCAGGACCTGCCAGAAAATGGCAGGACTCCTGTTGTATGTCCCAATCTCTCTCCTCTGCCATCCAATACATTGACTGGAAATTCATGACAATATATCCCGTGTAGACGAGGATTACAGTGACGCTTTAATACAATTCATACTTTATTGTTGATCTGTCATGCTTGATGTTTGATTCAAATCTTCCTGCTATGTTATTTGTTTCCGATGTTTTCTTCAATGCTCCTGTTTTGCTATCCTTCATGATATAAATATTATAGCACCAGGATTACACCATTGTATTCTATTTTTGGACTCTTTTTTGAGCTAACATTTTGAGCAACAGATTTTGATTCTTGCAGATGAGTCATTGGAGGATTCTATTGTTCATTCCGATTCTCGTTCACTAGCTACACTTCTTCTCATTCGTGATATTCAGGTACATATCCAAATTAAAGCATTCAGTTTCAAATGGAATTTAACATTGATTTTTAGCAATGTAAACGTATTTACCTTCAGATTTCTACTTTGATAAAGAATGTGTGGCTATTATGTCAATTGGTTGATAATGATCACCATTGCCAAGGTGGTACATGAAGACTGACGCAGTCCTGCTGATGTCATATGTCATCACCGACGCTTAATTTTTATTTTATTTTATTTTTTACTATTCACGGGTTACTACTATTCATTGGTGCTTTTATCAGGTGACTGTTCACAGGGATATTCTGGAATTGTTAATATTGTTTAGTGGCAATGTGGAGTTTTCAAGAAGCGTTTGGAATTTATCAATTTGTGGGGGTACTATGGTGTTTTATTATAATTAGAATAGTAGCTATGGTGTTTTATTACAATTAAAACTTTGTAAAGAGTTCAGAGAGTAGATTTTCTTATTTGTGGTTGTCGTTGTAGAGAGAGACTTTCCTCCATTGAAGCTTTGTTAGCTTCCATATTATTAAATCTATTGAATTTACAGCCCAAATTTTTGTTTAATCTTGTCGATCAATACTCTGTGCTGCATTAATTGGTATAAGAGTCAATTGATTTCCTTCACGCATCACGGAATTCAATTTCTTTGGAAACACAAGGACGCACTACAATTGCGAAGAAGAGGCCGTGTGAGAGGAAGTCATGGTCGAGGCGTCAGAGTTAGACCTTGCAATGTGCAGATTTGGGGCTTGTGTTTCAAAGATTCGACCAAGGCGCACTAGATCAGAGACGATGCCCTAGAATTACGACAGAAAAGGGGTGTTCGAAGGGTTGATGTCGTGTCTCCAGGGTTTCGGGCACAGACCAGAAGATGATTCAGACTTGGATAGCCTGTGGTCACATCGGTCACAGGCAATAAACCGTATCTCGATTGAAGATTCGTTGGTTCCAGCACTTGAAGGCTCTGAGCGAAGTATTAGGGTTGATGTACCTGATTATACAAGGAGATTACAGCTGGATGACTTCCTTGATGGTTTCAAAAAATTATTTCATTGGAAGGATATGTAAAAAGGTACAATTTGTTGGTATTAGATTAAAAGACCATACCTTGTTGTGATGACAGCAAATACAGGTTGATCGCACAAGAAAAGGAAAGAAAGACGTCCGTGGTTGGGAGAAGGTGAAGAGGTATTTGAAGGGAAAATTGCTGCCTACAGATTATATGCAATATCTTTACGAAAGACTCCCATCATTTACAATAGAAAGATGGTCCGAGTCAGGATTATATGTAAGCCTTCTATTAGTTGTGGAGGTGAAATGATATTTGGGAGAATGATACCATGATTGCACGATATACCAGTAGGCTGCGTGTTGCATTACAAGATGTGCCGTCTGTGCATCAAAGTTTTACTTTGTATATACCCTATTAGCTTTGCTTTGAAAGCCAAGACCGAAGCGCACAGATATGGGCCCAATCGCTTTGTAGTTAAGCAGCCGTCCACTACAAAGTTCAAAGAGACAGTGGGACAAAGCTCTAACCGGTCTGATAATGAGGATGGAGTTCAGCCAAACGTACAAATGTACGCCTCGCACAACACAACAGTCCCATGATCAAAATAAAATATTTTAAAAGTGGATTGGTACCATTGGGTCAAAATTAACTACAATAAGGGCACTTTATTTGACCTAAGAACCATGATTCGCTACTGTTTTCTTATCCAACCCAGCAAAGACCCATGACCCACAGTCTCAATGAAGGGGCTCATAATTGGCTTGTCAAAGTTGGATAATAAATAGTGGAACCATGATCTTGGAATGTAGATCACAGTCTCCCCTTTAAGCGCAAATCTAACACTTATCACTACAGTGCAAATGAGACTCTCTATGCACATGTACACATGTCCCTCTATAGGGGTACTTCTTAGTAATGCAGCTGTCATGTGTACATGTCATGTGAAAGTTTATTGAGGCTTTGGCCTTTGCTCTCACAGGCCGGCACACAAGTGACCACACAGTTCTCTTGATCTACAAACATCATTCCTAGGCATCTCTTCCACCTCAACAAGGGATGACTCATTACTCTAAACCCTTCTTAGTAGTGCCACATGCTCAAGGGTAAGGGTTTTGGACATAACCAGGGCCATTAACTGCCCAACCCTTGGTCAGTCGACACACACTCCTACTGAAGTGCATATTCCACTATAAATTTTTTTTTTTATAAGCTCCCTATGCCTTTAAATGCCACAAAAACCCAACATCTCCCACTTGGCCTTTGAAGATCGTACAATTTCTCTCAAGTCCATCCCATGTGCATATTTGGCAAAAACATTTGCCACCAATTCTTTCGCAAATATAGCCTCTGTGAAATAAGCAATCTGAATCTCTTCTGCTCGGATCTCGTTGTGAATGTGGTAGTAGCATGGCTTTATATGCCTTGATGTATTGTAAAACATGGGATCTTTTGTTACAAAAATAGCTGCTTGGTTGTCGCAGAGGATTATAACACACAGGCACTTTACTGGATCAAATCTGAGATTATTCAGGAACTTCTTCAACTAGACTGCTTCTTTAGTCGTGAGGCAACATGCCATATACTCTGACTCCATAGTCGAGAGTGCAAGTGTGCAACAATATCCTGTTCTCATAGCACCAAGAAACAACTCCACCTGCAAGCGTGAAAATATATCTGGATGTGGACTTCATCTCATTTGGATCGCCCTCATAGTCCACATATGAATATGTTTGTATATGTATATCCGAGCCTTCTCCGTAAGTGAGTGCGTAACTAATTGTCCCCTTCAAATATTGTAATACTCTTTGATGGCCTTCTAGTGCTCCATGCCTCGATTACTTTGGAACCTGCTAATCAAACCCATAGCAAATGATAAATCTGGTCTTGTCCTAGACATAGCATACTTTAGTGACCCAATTGCACTTTTGTATAGAATTCCCTACTTAACTTCCTTTTCTTCTAGAGTAGTGGCACAAATGGCTATGTTAAGCTTGGTCTTCTTATGAATGGGGTTAATATGGGCCGATAGTTTTTCATTTCAAATCTTTTAAGAATTTCATTACAATGTCTCTTGAGATACCTGAATAATTCTCTCCTTTCTGTTTTATGCATTTTGAATCCCAAAACATATGATGCTTTTTCAAGACCCTTCATATCAAAATGTTGTGACAAGAAAGCTTTTGTCTCCAATACGAGATTCATCAAACTACTATCATTTAACATGTGATCCACATATAGACGGATGAAAACATCATCACTCCCATTGACCTTGACATTTATACAATAATCCTCCTGGTTAGGCACAAAACCAGCTGATGACAAGGTCTCTTGAAACTGAATGTACCACTGCCTTGATACCTGTTTAAGGCCGTAAAGGGACTTATTGAGATTACACACTAGGTTTTCTTTTCCCTTTTCTAAGAAGCCTTTTGGTTGTTTTATATAAATTTTTTCTTCTAGCTCTCCATTTACAAATGCAATCTTAACATCGATCTAGTGGAGTTCGAATTCGAAATGGGCTGCTATGGCTATAAGGATTATAATGGAGGGGAGTTTTCCTACAGGGAAGGAGGTCTCATCATAACTATTCCTTATTTCTGAGTAAACCGTTTAACAACTAATCTGGCTTTGTATTTCTCCAACTTCCCTCTTGAGTTCAATTTCTTCTTATAAATTCACTGGCAGCGTAGGGTTTTCTATCGGGAGGTAGTTTCACTAGTTGTCAAACGCTGTTTTGTTTGATCGAGCTAAATTAATCAATCATGGCTTCTTTCCATTGTGCCTTTTCATGACAAGCCGTGGCTTCTTGGTAGGAACAGGGTTCACTTAGGGATTCTTCATTCAATTTTCTATCTCTTAAAACTCGGCTTGTTTCTGAGTGGCGCAACCCTCGAGAAACTCTTCCTCAAGGAAATGGGAATCCCTACACTTAAAAGACAACCCCTCTGTCAGGATCATAGAAACGTATCCCTTACCATGTGGAGGGTATCCTTGTTGTCATATTTTTGACACACCTTCCCCCCATGCAAACAAAAGAGGAGGTAGTTGCAACCATACCCTTTAAGCGCCAAATGTGCCTTAAGGACTAAAGAAGCCTCGGCAGAGAATAAGCTAGATTTTGAAGAGTCTCTGCAAAGACATCACCTCGGCCCCAAAAAATGCACAAGAGTGGCCTTTCATAGCCCGAAGTCATTTCCCAACTTTCGCCCCAATTGGGCGAAGGTGCGAAGATATAGAAGGAAAGTATGATCAAGGAGTGTTGTGCTCTTTGCGTGTGCGGTGTACACCATAGCGAAACTCTTGGAAGCTGATATCAGATGGTCTCTAGACCACCATAGGTGGCTTTAGAAGGTCAAAACCCCCGACTCCCATGTTTCGCTCCAAATGGAGCTTTCTAAGTCCTACTTTCCCGAAATGGGCGGCTGTTTACTATTCAAGAAAGGGAAAGTTGAACCAGTTTCTAGAACGAGTAAAAAGCTGCTACATTCTTCAAAAAATGGGGCAAGCTTGTCGCCCTTGTATCTCGTGATCCGTAAATTAGATCGAGCCCAAATTTCGATGTCGTGCTCCTCAACGAGCACGATCTTTTGGTATAATCTACGGACAAGATCGATGACTAGAGCGAGAGAAATCCTAGAGACATGGTAGCAAAAAAAATAGGGTTTATACAGAAAAGTAGTATGCGCGACCTATCGTCACTCCGACGATCATAACATGACGCCCAGGGGTCGGGTCAACCAAAAAATGGGTGTGATTCGATTGTAACTCGACAAGTTTCGATTTGAGATAAGAAGCGCCGTAATTGGGGTCTGAGAAGGTGTCTGTTTAGGGCTCGAAGGTTGGGCATGAATTTCGATACGACGGAAAAGTGGTTTTCTGGCAACTTGCTAGAATTCCAAAATTGTCAATCAGAGGCCGTTTCACATGATGTTTTGTGTGAAACAACCGTGGTGGCATCCCCATCTATTTGCTGATAAAACAAAGCAATAAATGCGGCA